GGCCAGAGTTGATTTCATGCGACTGTTGGAGATTATGGGAGCCAACCTGGGAGGTAAAGGACAAGTTGGTACAGTATTAGGCCGCGCGTTTCGAGATAACGCCGGTAATGGGATCAAGCCAGTTGCCGACCTACTCGAGGCATGAATTCGTTGTCTCGTGGGCGTTGGTGGCGCGTTGCAGCCAGGACGGGCTGACGCCGATGGTAACATGTTGTATCCCAAAGTTGGACCACTAGCAGTTCTGGAGCGAACTACTTAGAGCAATTTCGGCTATACCATCTACAGCAACGTGATCATGGTGGCGAGCACCTTCCTTGTCATCAGCATGAAAGCCATCATCTGCAGGACGCGAAGATGGACGAGTAACGCAGCCAGTTGTGGTGCCTCAATTCTGTACAGCCTGAAGGACGTTTGCAGCAATAAGGGGACCGCAGAGATCATCGAGAAGCAGTCGACAGTGGCGTCCAATGCTATGACGGTCGAGGAAGCCAGGACGCACCGTCGACAAAGCGAGAAAGAGAGAGAGAGAGAGAGAACTGCCCTGGATACAGCATGGAGACGAAGTCCGTAAATGTCAAGACGTGGGTCACCACAGCCACGCAGGACATCAGGAACGACATGACCAGGGATCTGCATGGATGTGGATTGGCTGCCTCGGTCGGCGATTCGTGGGAGATAAACGGAGATCGAGAATGTTGCCAGATGCGACGCTGTCCTTGGATTCCGTCTGCTGTCGAACTCAAGGAGGAGTCCAGGAAACACGATATATGATGGGACCAGATGGGGGAAATGAATAAGGTTGAGAAGTTGGCGAGGGCCAAAAACGATGCGCACTGTGATCGAGCCGTTGTGGCTCAAGTTGGTTGATGAGGAACAAACTGTTTACACCCCTGTCGGGGAAAGGTCCGTGGACCTCAGCTCCGCCTGGCAATGTCAATATACAATCAAAATACACAGATTCTTCTCTTGCGTTATGCTGCTCCCATCGTCCTTAAGGACCACCTCTGGTAAAGACCTCCGAGCAGCCAAAAAGTATCGAAACTGCGTTGAACGAGTATCGCATCTCAGGGCCCGGGGTGTGAAAACCGTCCAGTTTCGGTATGTCCTTGATGCTCGAAACTTTTTCTGGTGGTCAAAGCGAAAGTAGGGTGGAAACTCTAAACTCTTGCCCTCATTCCTCTCCTGAGGGCGACCCAAGATGAACATATGAGAATCTAAGTGGTGTACTTTGGAACCTGTGGGGCGTTCGAACATTCAAGGTTGGAGGTTGCTTTTGAAGGGACCAAGAGAGAGCGAGCATAACGCTTCCGCAGGCGATCCGCATCTTCTCCTTGTGTCAGCAGTCCTCTTCTGAGGGGTGTGGGGCCAAGATGAACATATGATCGTATGCTCCTTTACTTTGGAGCCTGCGGGGCGTTTGGCTATTGAAGGTTGAAGGCTTCTCCCGGAGAGAGAGAGAGAGAGAGAGAACAAAAAAAGAGAGAGAGAGAGAGAGACAGACAAAAAGAGAAGGACGGCGAGAGGTATCGTAAGCACACTGGCTCAAGTGCCGCTTATCGGATATCGCTGCCAACCAGACCTGCTAGATCCAGAGGATTCCCATTGAATTCCGATGGGCTCCAAAGCAAACTTCTACAGAAACAAAGCAGACCCCATATCCAAAGGATGCCTACAGAATTTGAACAGGATTCTGTAAGATCTAAACAGAAACGCATCATATCCCAGACACAGGGGACCCCATGCTGAATGTGGACGGGCTTCCAACCAAATCTCGATACAAACGCACCAGATCCCATGCCCAGAGGTTTCCGATAGAAGTTGAACAAGATCCTGTAAGACGTCAGCAGATCCAGGAGCGCCCATGTTGGACCTGAGTGGCATTCTAATCGGATGCCAAGAGAGACGGAGCAGATCCCAGTTCCAAAGGATCCGAATTGAAGTTGAACAAGGTTACACAAAAGGCTCCAATAAGAAAGTCAATCCCAAATCCAGGGGGCCCGGATTGAATCTGGATAGGCTCCTAAGTTTGCAATACAAGCGGAGCAGACCATATACCCAAGGGAGCCATATACAGGTTAAGCAGGGCCCCAGCGGACTCCTACAGGCCCAGAGGGCGCTCGCTGGATTTGTATAGGTCCCGATCGGGTTTAAGTCGAGATGGGGCCGATCCCAGATCCCAGGGACCCCCATGAAGTTGGATCAGCTTCTGATCGGACTTCAGCAGAAAAAAGAGCCGACCTCAGATCCAGACGATTAAAAATTGAAGCGGGATAGGGTCCCCATAAGCCGAACATCGGCATGGAGCAGATCCCATATCCAGATCCAGAAACGGATGGGTACCTAAGAAAACCTTCACCCTAACGGAACAGATCCCATACCCGAAGGATCCCTATATAATCTGAACAGCAGATCCAGTGGGATCAGATTGATTACGTAGATGTGTAAACAGATCCCGACCCGATCTTAATAGAAACGGAGCAGATCCCAGATCAAAAGAAGTCCGAATAGTTAAACCGGGTAAGACTATGATAGGATTCCAATGGGAAAAACGCAGATCCCTGATCCAGGGGACCCGTTGAATTTGGATAAGATTCTGACTGGGTTCCACAAGAAAAGAACACATCCAACATCCAGGGGGGAGGAGGGGGAGGAGAAGGAGGAGGAAGAGGACAGGACAGGACAGGACATCCGCATAAAGGGGGTCGACGTCAACACCTACACTGGTGCCGTGCGCGCGACTGGCAAAATCCCCTGCGATTAGGTTGTGCAACAGCCCTGACTTCTCTCTAGGGCCAGCAGGGGGCATACCCCGAAGCTTCAAGGGGCAAGCTCCGAAGTGGCTCCGTAAGAGAGGCTCGCAACCTTGTGAGTACGAGTTCCTGCGGGTCAAGGAAGAAGAGGAGGAGTAGTAGGAGGAAAATCAAGCGAGAGCCGCAAGAATAGGCAAGGAGACCCAGAGACTGGAAATTGAAAAATGTTGTGGATTCCAGCTTCTCCAGCTTTACCAACACTTCTCAGGGACCAAGCCGCTGTCTTCAAGCGTCTCCAGTTTTCCCAACGACGCACCCTTGAAACACACGCTGTGTTTTCCAGCTGCTCCAGCTGCTCCAGCTTTTCCAGCCGACCGATGAAGAACGCAATGTGCTCCAGCTTTCACGGCTTTGCCAGCGTTTCCCAGGGATGGCCGCTGAAGCACGCTGCGTGTTCCAGCCTTTCCGACTCTTCCAGATGTTCCCAGCTTTTTTGTTTATATATATATATATAAAAACGACGTGTGTTCCAGCTTTTCGAACTTTATGTATATATATATATACATATATATACACATATATATACATGTATATATACATGTATATATATATATATATAAAGACAAAAAAAAAAAAAAAAAAAAAAAAAAAAAAAAAAAAAAAAAAAAAAAAAAAAAAAAAAAAAAAAAAAAAAAAAAAAAAAAAAAAAAAAAAAACGACGTGTGTTCCAGCTTTTCGAACTTTCCCAGACACGACCCTGCTGCGCCTGCGCAGTCAGCAACAAGGGCGGGTCGCCCTCGCGCGGGGGCCATCGGGGCGACGCCAGCCGCGCGGAGGGCCCTGGCCACGGCGGGCCAGTGCTGCGGCCCCGCTCGGACCACGAGTCCTCCTCCTCCTCCTCCTCCTCCTCCTCCTCCTCCTCCTCCTCCTCCTCCTCCTCCTCCTCCTCCCCCTCCCGTCCAGCCACCTCCTCCCCACCGGGCAGCGCCAGGGCAGCGCCAGAGGCCCTGAACCGACCGCGTCAAAGTCGTTGTGGAGCTCCGCCCTTCCCAGGGCGAGCGTGATTGAAGAGGCCCACAAACACACAAATAAGTACACACAAATAAAAGGATTCCCCATATGTTCCTGTATTTTCTGGGTTTCTGTCTTCCCCCCACTTCCCATATTTTCCCATATTTATCTGGGGATCGACGATTAATTGTGTCTGTTTGTTTCTTTTCCTCCAAAATGATGTCGTGATGAGGTTGGCCCAGGATGCGTTCCCAGAGCGCTCAGCGGCGTAGCCCGTGCGGAGCATCCCGTCGCATCCGGGAGACACGGGAGATCCTGGCAGCCTTGGAAAGTGTGGAGCGTGCCACTCGCATGGCCTCTTGCTCCTCTTGACTTCCGGAGCAGGCTCGGGCGTCGGAGCTTGGGCAAATCGCTCCTGCGACCTGGGGGACGAGGTCCTGGCGGCGTGGCCGACGCGTCGCACCGGAGATGTGAGAACGCAGTGAGCCCCCCAAAACATGGTACAGTTGTATGCCGTTCTCACCGTGCTTAAGGACCACATCCCAGAAATAGTCTCGAGCACCCAGAAGAATACCGAAACGGTGTCGAACAAGTATCGACTCCCAGGGCCCCACACGTGGAAACCCTCAAGTTCCGGTACTTTCTCAGTGCTCAGAACTATTCCTGGTGATCAAGGCTGAAGAAGGTTGGAACACCATAAGTCCAATCACAGTCTGCCGAGATCAAGCTCTACGAGTTCCGCTGCAGTCGATGATGCGCACCTGGACATCGCCCCCCGTCGTTCTGGACATCTCCCTTCCCTGCCGGTATCCATGCGCTCGGCACGTCGGTCCCCCGCGCAGGTGCGGCCAGCCAGCTCGCGTTCGAGAAGGAAGCGCGTCACTGCGCAGGGTATCCAGCACAGCCACCGTGTAAATCATGAACGCTGAATCAGGGTCGAAGGGGCTCTGGTGGCCACGGCGAGCCTTGGCCACGAACAGATCCCCCGGCCAAGACCTCAGGAACGGCCCGAAACCAGAGCCCCTCCCGAGCCCAGAGTGACCCTTACTTCAGCGTCTTGACTGTAAAGTGTGTTGTCAGGTTCCTGGGGCAGCGCCTTGGGCTTGGCGTATCCGCCGAATGACTTCAGCTCGCGCACCCTCCTCCTCTTCCTCCTACTCCTCCTCCTCCTCCTCCTCCTTATCCCCCTCATCCTCTCCCCCTCTCTCCCCCTCCTCCCCCCTCCGCCGGGGTCGCGGC